GGGGGGAGGGGGCTAACATGTTTACATGAACCTCCCTAGCCAGGCTGGCATGGTTAACCAAGGAGAAGGGGCCTGATATCAAATCTCTTTATACAAATAGATGAAGGTATTGATGGAGAGGCATCTTGCTGTCTCACAGAGCAAACATTAGCGACTTTAGTGGGAAAAATTGGTCCACGAATGAAACTGCTGAAAGCAATAAACAACATTGAAAAGGATAGAGTTTCCAGTGATATGTCATCCTGCTCCACCCCAAGCGTTAGCAGTCGAGGTACCATGGAAGAAAATATCACACTCCAAAATACAATACCACTTGAATATTCTCCGATTAGGTAAGTTTTAAATTATGAAAAGGAAAGTACCATGAAGCGCCAGTGCTCTCCCCTTAATGAATAAAATTGTCTGGTGTTAGACAGAGAAAAATAATAATAAAGTAGGGTGCAATGAAACTCAAGGCATTAACCAGACACATGGCCAGATCGGCCAGTTCACCCATTAAATGCCAGCCCTCTCCCCTTGACAAGTAATTATAATGTTGTCCGGCATTTAATAGACACAGTAAAATAATAAAGTGGGGCGCATCAGAATGCAATGCGACTGGTGGTTAACTAGACACATGAGAAGATAGGCCAGTTCACTCATAATTTAAGCGCCAGCGCTCTCCCCTTGACAAGTAAGGTCATCTGGCATTAAACAGTAAATAATAAAGTGGGCTCAATGCGACTCAATGATTTAATTATAATTTTGAAATTTATGTGTTATGCAACATCCCATTGATAAAAACATTCCTAAAATGCTATTTGAAACAGATTATCCAAGCAAATGCTAGTGAGAAATTAGCAGGTAACACAACAGCCTGCTGGCATTGCCCTCAGACACTCAACCTGGGCTTTATCCAAGCACCAACTGACCTCCGGTAAACGGAGGACAAAACTCAATCTTGGATTTAGTTTTTAAACTGAATCTTTCCCCCAACGAAGAAAAAACAACAAAGAATAATTTTCACATGCTTTAGTTTTTGCAATTCCGAGAAACAGGGTTATATAATATTATTTGTGTTGTTCTTTTTCAAAATAAAATGATATGTTATTGTTTATGTTATAAAGCTACCTCCATCGTATTTTTTTGTGTCTTATGCCCACCATCCTTAGATGGCATGCATTTTTGAATTTCTGATAAAAATTTTGTTTTTATTTAGCTAATTCAACTAACATTTTGTGTTTTTATTTAGCAACTGCAAAGGGGCGACACGGAAATGGGAAAACCCTTTCCCACTACCAGAAAGGTTTCAACCTTGTGTCCAAGATGCTTTGAACAAGAATATGTTCCTTACTAAACAGTTGAGGTGCAAGTTTATACAAGCTGTTTATGACCGGATATGCTTGTTCACCATGTAAGTTTGAAGATTCAACCTTGTTGATGGCCTGCAAATTAGTGCCGGTCATCGACATTGTCCAGGAAAATTTTCACTTTTGTCCAATCAAAACGTTTTATGACTGGACATGTGACCGACCAATTTAGGCTAGTCAAATCTGAAATCTCCAATATCAAAAAATTGTTTATTTAATTAACACATTTTTAGTCAATGAAAGCAATATAGACAGCACTTCTCCACTATTTCTTGCTACTTTATTAAGCCATTTATAAGATTTAATTATAAATCTATATCTTCTTCGTATTTGTAACCTGAACCATGATTTACTGATGCATCAGGCCTTGTAGATATATACTAAGTTTTAGTTGCATTGATGTGCGGACTAACAGGACCAGGCAAAAAATACATTGTGCTCATTTTCAAAACAAATTTGAAAAATTTTACTTTGTCCTGGAAAATTGATAAATGACAGACCAATTTTGGCTTGGCCTGTCATTTGTCCTTCCAAGTAAATTAGTTATTTTCAGGCCTGTTGTTCCCTACAAAAATTATAATGTTTGTTTTGTCTGCATTAATTAAACTAATAAACTTTCTTTATAGTTCACCTACTCCAGATCAACGAAGGGATGTTTGCAGGGCAATAGTCACCAGGTACCCTTTCTTGACAGATGTTGTTGGTGGTCTTGTAAGTATTATAATGGTATGATCATTGTATAATTAGAGTCATGTGGTTAACCCGAAATTTGTGTTCCTTTTTAGCACTGGAAGTCAGCACCGAGCATGTGCAATAGAACCAGTACTCTCGGTTCACATTTCCCAAACTTTAAGGCATACCTGTAGCTAATCTTCAAATCGAGTAGGTAGCCAATCCTCAAATGAAGCTAGGCTATGCCACATTCTTGTACCAAGAGCCTGTCTTACGTGCGGTCAACAGAGCATGACAGGGTTCGAGGGGTACGATGGTGGGTTGCGCCACAACTGCACAGATCTATCAAAATTTAGCCTCTGAACAAGAACAAAATGTGAAGTGTGCACCTAGATAACTAGTTCCAATTGATTTTTGGAGTTAGCAACACAGCAATTAACTTCAGGCTTACATATCTTACAGCCTAGGCTGGCTCGCTACACATACTCTTTGGAACTATGCAGTTAGCCCATAACTTTTTCATGCTATTTGGAATTATACCTCGCTTCAAATGATTTTTGCAGTAACTCCAGGCTTAGATACTTAGCTCATAAGTTATTTCTGATTGTTATGATGATTTTTGGAGTAAGCCAGTAACTCCACAATTCCTATTTCAAGTAGTTTTGAATTACACAAGTGCATATTTTGGTTTGGAATTAGCACTTTAGACTTTGGAGGTAGCGTCGCGTCATAACTTCCTAATTTCTACAGACATGCTTTATTAAAGGATTTTTGTTTTTATTAATTTGCAAGGTTTACCTCTTGACATTTAAAACATCTGACAATTTAGACTACTAAGCAGAATAAATTATAGAGTTCACCCTTAACAATGAAATGACTTTGTATTGTACCTAGAAATTGACAGGCAAGGCACCCTTGTCTAGGGCAGGCTGTTGATCATTTTTTTATTTTAAAGGAAATCTGGTATCGACAATTGGGTGACAAAGTTAAAAACGAGGTCCGGAATGAGAAAAGTGATCCTGTGGTCTTGGCAAGAAAGAGAAAAACACCAGTGGAGTATCCAGTTGTCCTAAATCCCGGGCTGTGGTCAGACGGGGAATTGTAAATTGGGAACCACCTGCAGTTGACGGTGAAGACGATCAGTCATCTAAAGCCCACATTGCTTGGATGCAAAAAGAACGAAAGAAGAAGACATGAAATGTTGCTCTAGTAGAGAGCAAAATGGATTTAACTTTCTCATATCGGAGAAAAATGATTACTGAAGGACACCATTCCTTGAAGAAAATAAAAGAAAAATACCCATTCCTCTTTGAAAGGGAACAGGTATATATCAACTACCAAGTTGCTATATTAGTATATAGTTTAGTATATAGTTTCAGCATGTTCGAAATAGGCACAAGTTATAACCAATATAGAATGACAGCTGTGTTGATACCAAATTCAATCTGTCTTTTAATTCTTATGGGATAACCAATCAAGAATTGGTCATTGTCTGCTATTTCATTCTCCTTTAATTAATGTAATCTATTTGGCAGGAAAAACCTTTAAGTGTTTGTGTACACTTAGGAAACATTGAATAGCATGAAATAAATAATGTGCAGGCTGAACAATACAACTGAACAAATAATGTTTTTTAATTGCTCTGTGTTTACAGTACTGTATGTTTCCCACTTGTCTTATTTGTAGTTACGGAAAGAATACAATCAGCTATTGGCAGACGAGAATGCTGCTGATTGCATGAAGCACAATCTGTTGGAATTAGCACCCAAAATTATATCTGTTGCTGAGAAAAGAAATTTGGCTGCAAAAGAAGCCCAGGATCTGTTGCAATTATGTTGTCAACTGAATGATGCTGATGTGGATGAAGCGGAAATCACTGAAGGTATGTGTACATGAAGCAGAATCTATGTTGAAGCAGACAGAATTTACCCTTTCAGTGACCAAAATTGAGTATGTTTGATTACATGAATTGGCTGAATTAATTTTCTTTGAATTCACACAAGGCATATGAACTTCATTTGCTGGATTTTATTTCAGAATAGTAAAACATTTTTCGTGAAATTTGGGGTAAACGAGAAATATTGTGGTAATAAGAGATTTGGTAGTATTAAGAGTGTTTTCACACAATTTGAAGTGTTCATTTAACCCAATATTAACATGGAATAATTTATAAAACATTAATTATATAAATAATTTATAAAACATTTTCCCATGTTGCTATTGAGTTAAATGAACACTTGAAATTGTGTGAAAACACTCTTATTACTACCAAGTCTCTATTTTATAATATACATGTAGTGCATAATAAATTTCCCTAATATTGCCTCAAATTTCCATTTTCTACAAACGTTTTCCTCTAAGTGGAAACACTTGCATGAAACACAAGCATGATCCAATAAAAAAGTTTAGGGTTGGGATTTCGGCATCCAGAAGCTAGGTAGGGTTGGGAAACCACATATTTCTGTGTTTATATTTAAGTAATTGTGGCGGCTCAGAAATTACAAAATGCTATACAGTAAAACCCCGCATAAAAGAACCAGTGAATTTTGACTACAGGCTGAAGTGGTGCTTATATAACCGGTACTTAGAAAGAAATCAGGCTGAAGTGGTTCTTAACTGGTTCTTATTTCCAGTCAAAAACAATTGTTCCTGGTTTAGAGTTTTAAACCTCTTATTGTATATAATGGAACTAGTAAATGAACTGTAATTTAATTATTTTGATAAAATAAATGCATGCATGATGTGGTTGAAAGATATAATTCCTGCTAACAAGATTACAGTATTTTGTTTTCTGCCTAGTACCTGCTTACTGACTCAGCTAAAAGTTTAATAAGCTTTTTAAGAACCAGTTTCATTTGAAAGCCTGAAGTGTTTCTTGTATTTTGGGTGCTTAATTGCCCAAATTTCAGGCTGGTGGTTCTTAATCCACTGGTTCTTTTATGCGGGGTTTTACTGTATATTATATTTGTTTTTAACTGATCTCTTAATTAATACTTTTCCCACTGTCACTGTTACACAGCGAATGTGACACATAAATTATTTTCCTGCTAAAATGCTCAATCATTTTTGTAACCTAATTGTATTTTTATCTCATTCTTAATAGAGGACAAAGCTTATGTCGCATTGTGTCTGTTACCATATCTTTTGCTTTCAAATATATTTATTGAGAACATTACATTATTATATATAATTATATATAATTAATATTATGTATAATTAATATGAACTCAAATGGCATAAGCACAAACGAGACGCGAAGTCCCATGCAAGGTGCAAACCCCGAAGCAGCGAAATACGTAGATAAATATAAATACACACAAATACATAAAATATAAATATATAAAAGCCGCTTCCCCCTATTAGTATGCACCATGAACACAACCACCTGAATGCTTCACGGATGTGTTAGCAAAATAATTTCAAACTCACAAGCATAATGAATGCTTCACGGATGTGTTGGCATAATAATTTCAAACTCACAAGCATAATGAATGCTTCACGGATGTGTTAGCATAATAATTTCAAACTCACAAGCATAATGTGGTTGCATTCAGTGAACACAATAAGATGAACCGTCTATTAAAACTACTTAAGATCTGTGGCAGGGGCAGTCCCGCACCAGTGTCCAGGTGCATGGCATGTCCACGTCAAATGTTGCCGTAACCAAGTTAGCGTAAGTGGCTTTAAGAGATCTTTTGAAGATGGAGAGGCCGGCAAAGGTGGTAGAGGGAAGAATTTTGCAGACGTGGTTCCATAACTTGACAAGCCGGTTGAAATATGAGGATTGAAATGTTTTGGATTTATAGAAAGGAATTTTGAGTGTGAGAGAAGGATTTCGACTAAGTCGTGTTCGGCCATTGTTGACAAATGAAACGAAACTATGCACGTCAAGATCAATATGTCCATACAGTGCCTTAAAAAAGAACACTAAGTCTTTTATTTCTCTCTCGTAGCACAGGGGTAATAAGCCAAGGGTTATCAGCCGCTGCTTATATGCAATTTCTCCGCGCTTGGCATGCAGTATCCAAGAGGTGGCTCTCCTTTGTACACGTTCCACTGTGGATCTCATTTTGATGGTAGGAGGAGACCAGACGTCGGTGGCGTAACTTATCTGGGACTTCACGAGTGACAAGTACAGCGCACGCCTCACTGCGGTGTTAGTCAGTAGAGGGCAAGTTCTTTTCAGCATGCCAAGCATCTTGTTCCCTTTGGCGGTGATGGTATGAACATGATCGTCCCATGAGAGGTTGTAATTTATGAAGACACCAAGATCTTTTTCCTTATTCACACGAGTAAGTTCCTTTGAGCCCATGTGACATGCGTACGTCAGCGGGTTTTTTTCCTTGTAATTGTCAACACCTTACACTTTGACTCGTTAAAATTGAGGTTGTTGTCACGGCTCCAGCAGTCAAGGTCTGTTAAAGCTTGTTGCAAACTTTCACAGTCACCTACTGATGTGATGGACTTGTACAGTTTGGTGTCGTCTGCATACAAAGCTGCCAAAGTCTCGTCAGGTAATATGTCGGGAAGATCGTTTATGAATATCACAAACAGTATAGGACCCAGAAGACTGCCTTGCGGCACTCCAGATGTAACTGGCACCCAATTAGATGTAGCTCCATCAATCACAACCCTTTGACGACGACCACTGAGATAGTCCGCGAACCATTCATATAAATGACCTGACACACCGTATGACGCAAACTTGTGGAGGAGAATTTGGTGATCGACAGAGTCAAAAGCTTTCGCAAAGTCGAGGTAGATAACGTCAGTTTGAACGTTTTTGTCAAGGGATTGCCCGATGGCGTGTAGTACCGATAGTAGTTGACTAACGCAAGATCGCCGTCTAAGGAAACCATGTTGTGCTTTTGTGACGAGGTGCCTGACATGATTATATAGTCTGATGCACACGCAACGCTCTAGTACTTTGCCAACGATGGGCAGCAACGATATTGGTCTGTAATGTTCCGCCGGTTCTTTAAGATCTTTTTTGTTGACGGGTGTAACATTCGCAGATTTCCACTCAGATGGAACATGACCAGTATGCAAGGAACGGTTAAACAACTCACATATGCTTGGTGCGATTTCAAGGGCGCATACTTGTAACAGGCGAGCTGGAATGCCGTCGGGGCCACATGCTTTCGAGGTATCAAGGGCACGCAAAAATTGCGCAACTTCGTCTACATCGATTGTTATCTCCGAGATGTTCTCTTTGCTTTCCGTTCGAGGCGTCTGGTTACAAGTGGTAGAAGATGGATGAAACACTGAAGAAAAGTAAGTGTTAAAAAGATCCGCTTTTTCTTTCGCCGTCTTGGCTGTGAAACCATTATATGTTATTTCGTTGCTCTGACCTGTCCGGTGGTGAATAATTGATTTATGGTAACTCCAGAATAGTTTGGGGTTGTCACAGAACGAACTTTCTATTTTAGCCAGATAGCCTCGGTGTTTACTTCGAATCAAGTATTTGATTTGTTGAGTAACGCTTCGTAATTTACGCTTTCGATCAGCAGATTTGTTCCTGCGGTATTGTTTTAGAACTTTGTACTTCTTACGGATTAGTTGACGAACTTCTTTATCGATCCATGGTGGACTATTTTTGTCTTTGACAGTTCTGATCGGAATGTACCTTCTCACCGTAGTTAAGAAAGTGTCCTTCCATTGTTCCCAGTCATCATTAATGCTATCAGTTGGGGTAACATTGATGGGATATCGTGTCAGGAAGTTACGTAGCTCATCGAAATTTCCTTTTCCATAGTCGAATACTCGGCGCTTTATTAGCTTGGCTCTTTTAAACTTCAACTTCACGTCAAATTCCACGATGTAGTGATCTGTTGGGAAACCACAGGTCTCAGGATGGAGAACGGAGACGTCGCCGACGATTTCAGGAGAGTTACACATCAACAGATCGAGTTTATTACCAGCAGTATGTATTGCAGAAGGAAGTTGTCGTCTACCAAATCGCAAAAGATTTCATTCTCAGGAGGTCCTCCGATGCTGATGGGGGTTTTCTGATCAGACGACCATTTAACTGATGGTAGATTAAAATCGCCTATCAATACAATACGACTTGATTCTGAGTTGTTTTGGATAGAATAATTTAGCTGCTGAAGGACATCGGGATTAGAGTCGGGGGGACGATAAAACGTGTAAAGTATAATTGGTTT